GGAGGTGGGGGCAGTGGTAACTGAATAAATGTTTGCCCCAAGGGTTTGCAGTCTCTTGGGTGGAGTTTTGAGGGCACAGTTTACTCCAATGTAGCCCGAGCAACCAAAATAATAACCAAAAATAAGACCAGTCCAACCATGGGGTAGACAGGACCAGGCATTTTTTCATTCTGTGCTGCACAGGATGGCCATGAATTGCGACCACCTTAATGGCAGTTAACAACAACTGTCAATAGGCAGAGACCTCTCCACCCCATTTGGCGTTTGTTTAGGGAGAAAAGCTCTGTTCTTGCCATGGTCGTTATCTGAGATCACCTGCTCCATCAAATAGGGGATGCTTTCTCTCCTACTAGCCTTCAGAGCCCATGGACTGTGCAAATGATGTTGTCATCTATATGGAAAACTCCTCATTTGGGTAATGGAAGAACCTCTCCCTCCCAGAGATAGATCTTCTGTGATATGGACCCTGCCATCCACTTAGATCTACCTCTGATTCTCATTAAGACCTGGGTGAGAGTGGGCTTCTGCCATTGTATTAAAAGAACTATATTCTCCTGCTCTGTTTACTCTTCCTTTGTTCTAGGCCTCTGTCCATTGTTCCAATTCTCTGTGAGTTAGTACATTTATCAGAATCTGAACAATAGAGCAGCACCCCCAGCTCCACCCTGGGTAAAATATCCACCAAGTGCTCTGTCTGGCTGTCACTGTATTTTGGGCCTTGAAATTGTTTTGACCGTTTATGAAATTGTCCATACCCAAAGGCCAAAATTTGCTTTTATAACAAGGTTTATTAGCAAGTGTTTGACTAAGTCTTGAAGGTCTAGTGAGTCTGTTCTCTGTGTTTTTCCCTGGCCAGGAGTGCTCTGACATACTCCAAGCACTTAAAATTTATTGAGTGCTTACTATGTGCCAGGCATTGAAGCTAAGCCCTGAATATGCATTATCTCATTAATTTTCAAATCAACTCTGTGAGGTAGGGGTAGATATGATCATCTTACCCACTTTACTGATGAACAAAGTGAGGCTTAAAGAAGTAAAGTGAATTTTCCTAGATCCAAGGCTAGCAAACACTAGATCATGAATTTAAACTCAGGTTAGTCCTGCACTCCAAGCACTCATTCTTGTCCCACACTTCCAATACAAGCTTGATTTTTTTTTTTTTAAATCAATAGGACTTCATAATACCATTTGTGTTATGATAAGTATTAGTGAGCTATTCCAACAATGAAAAAATATTGTTCTGCTTGGGTAATATATCAACTTTTCCATATGCATATGTAGGAAAACATGACATTTCTGTTGTTGTTATTGTTAGGTGCTGTTGAGTCAGCTCCTGCTCATATCAACCGTATGTACAACAGAACGAAACACTGCCTGGTCTTGTACCACCCTCACAATTCTTGCTGTGCTTGAGTCCACTGTAGTGGCCAGTGTGTCAATCTATCTCATTGAGGTTCTTCTCCTTTGTCACTGACCTTCTACTTTATTAAGCATGATATCCTTCTCTAGAAAGTGATCTCTTCTGACAACATGAACAAAGTAGGTGAGATGAAATCTGCTCTTTCTTGTTTTTAAGGAGCATTCCAGCTGCACTTCTTCCAAGATGAATTTCTTCATTCTTCTGCAGTCCACGGTATTTTCAGCAACACTGAAATTCAAAGGTATCAACGCTTCTTCAGTCTGCCTTATTCATTGTCCAGCTTTCACATGCACATGAGGCCATTGAAAATACCATGGCATGGGTCAGAAGCACTTTAGCCCTCAAAGTGCTTCTTAACACTTTAAACAGGTCTTTTGCAGCAGATTTGCCCACTACAATAAAATGGCTGATTTCCTTACTGCTGCTTCCATGGGTGTTGACTGTGGATCTAAGTAAAATGAAATCCCTGACAACTTTAGTCTTTTCTCTGTTTATCATGATGTTTCTTATTGGTCAAGTTGTGAGGATTTTTGTTTTCTTTTTGTTGAGGTGTAATTCATACTAGCTAGGAAGGAAGATGGGGCAACTGCTTCTGTAGTGATACTGCCTCGTAAACCCAAGGAGGGGTCGCTATAAATCGGGGCCGACTCCACAGCACATAACAACAACAACAACAACCCATACTAGAGTGTAGTCTTTGATCTTCATCAGTAAGTGCTTCAAGTCATCTTCACTTTTAGCAAGTAAGGTTGTGTCACTTGCATATCACAGATTATTAATGATTCTTGCTCTAATCCTAATGTCATGTTCTTTCATACAGTTCAGTTTCTCAGGTTGTTTGCTCAGCATACAGATCGAATAAGTATGGTGAAATGATGCAACCCTGATGCATACTCTTCCTGATTTTAAACCATGCATTAGACCCTTGTTCTGTTTGAACAACTGCCTCTTGGTCTATGTTCAGGTTCCTGATGAGAACAATGAAGTGATCCAGAATTCCTATTCTTCACAATGCTAACCATAATTTGTTATGATCTGCACAGCTGAATGCCTTTGCACAGTCAATAAAATACAGGTAAACATCTTTCTGGTATTCCTTGCTTTCTGCCAAGATACATCTGACATCAGCGATGATATACCTTGTTCTACATCCTCTTCTGAATCCAGCTTCAATTTGTAGAAGTTTCCTGTCAATATACTGTTACAACTGTTTTTGAATTATCTTCAGCCAAATTTTACTTGCATGTGATATTAATAATATTGTTTGGTAATTTGCACATTCTGTTGGATCACCTTTCTTTGTAATGCACATAAATATTGGTCTCTTCCAGTTATTTGGCCAGGTAGCTCTCTTCCAAATTTTTTTGGCATAAGCAAGTAAGCCCCTCCAGTGCTGCACCTGTTTATTGAAATATCTCAGTGGGTATTCTGTCAATTTCTGGAGCCTTTTTGTTGTTGTTGTTGTTGCCAATTCCTTCAGTGTAGCTTGGACTTCTTCTTTCACATTGGTTCTTGATCACATGCTACCTTCTGAAATGGTTGAATGTTGACCAAGTTTTTTTGGTACAATGACTCTGTATTCCATCCATCTTCTTTTGATACTTCTTGCATCATTCAACATTTTGACCACAGAATGCTTCACTACTGTGATTTGGGGCTTCAAGTTTTCCTTCAATTTTTTCAGTTTGAGGAATGCCAAATGTATTCTTCTTTTGTGGTTTTCTAACTCCAGGTCTTTTCACATTTTATTATAATACTTCACATTGTCTTCTTGAGTTGCCCTTTGAAATATGTTCAGCTATTCTATTTCACCATTTCCTCCATTCACTTTGTTGTTGCTGTTATGTGCCGTTGAGTCGGACCTGACTCATAGCGACCCCTCCTTGGGTTTCTGAAGCAGTATCACTACAGAAGTAGATTGCCCCATCTTCCTTCTGAGGAGTGGCTGGTGGCTATTCTCCATTCAAGAGCAAGTTTCAAAGTGTTTTCTGACATCTATTTTGGTCTTTTCTTTCTTTTTTTTGTCTTTTAAATGGCTTTTTTTTCCTTCATGTATGATGCCCTTGATGTCATCTCACAACTCTTCTGTTTTTTGGTCACTGGTATTCAATGCATCAAATCTACTCTTCAGCTGGTCTCTAAATTCAGGTAGAATATATTCAAGGTTATATTTTGGCTGTTGTGAATTTGTTTTAATTTTCTTCAGCTTCAACTTGAACTTACATATGACCAATTGTCATCCACAGTCATCTCCTGGCCTTTTTTTGACTGATGATATTGAGCTTTTCTTTTGCTTGTCTCCACAGATGTAGTTGATTTGATTCCTGTGTATTCCATCTGGGGTGATCCATGTGTATAACTTCTGTGTCGGTGTCAATTGGTTTCCCTTTTCTTTGTTGAAGAGGGTCTGTGCAGTCCTTCTACCTAGTCCACCATCTTCCACCTTCTCTGGTTTTCTTTCTTTTGAATTCTTCCTTCCTTCATGATACTATAAGATGGTCCAATGGCTCATACTACATATTTCCTGCCCCAGTGCTAGAATCAGCCATGTCGCCAAGTAGCTCTAGTTCCTTTTATTGGAGCATGAGACAAAGATCTTGCCACTGGGTGTGTTTATTTTTTCTGGCAGCGGTAGTACTTTTTCAAGTGTTAGGAATTAAGAAAGGGATGTTTTTTCACCCATAGGCACAGATTTCAGACAAGCTTAGAAAGCCTTATCATTTGCCTGCTTTCTTGGACATGAGTAGAATTTTAAGACACAAATAGGTCATAAATTTATCACAAATATCTTTGGAAGGGAATCAGAATGGTTAAAATAATTACCAGTGTTCAGATATGCTTGGAGTGAAATATTAAAGAGGAATAGTGTTGCATTCATGATAAAAAAGAGTATATTTCAAGATCTATCCTGAAATACAATGCTGCCAGTGACAGTATAATATCCACACATCCACAAGAAGACCAGTTTATACTAGACATCACCACTAAAGCCAAAGATGACTGAAAAGGTACGACATTCTTCTTGTTACCGCACCCTGCACCCGCTTGGTGGGCGGGGGTGTGGCCATCTCCACTCCCACCTACCTTCTGGGCCCACAAAAACTCCATCACAGCCTGTGAGCTCAGACGGAGCCTGGGTGCCCTACGCAGTCCTCCTTCGATTTTTTTCTTTCTTTCTTTCTTTTTAATTTTTTTCCTTTTTCACTTTCTTTTTCCCGGTAATTAGTTTGCTTGTATTTGTCCGTTCCAAACCAACTAATATTATTAATACCTTTGTCCTTTTTATTATTATTCTTAATCTTCCCCTACCAGGTC